AAAAACTCATAACCGACCAATTCCATTATATTTAAGATTAATCATCATTAAGAAGCAATTCTATAGGTTTGTTGTAGGTACTAAACTACTAAGGAAACTTGAGTTTAAAATGTGGTTTGACTTATCCTGGAAGAAAATACAATCCTAGGCATCCGCGCAGAAATTATACATCAGTCTTTGCGCTCTTAATGAAAACAGCATGATATTGAGCAAGATCCTTCTGTGAATAAGCCCCCTTTGAGTTGGTTTAATAACAGATATTTCAGGGAAATGTGACTGTTAACCAAGAAGGACCTCTTTTTATTGAAATGCTGAAGTGTTGAATCAGTCTCTCTTGCCATTCTCAGCTCTGTTTGCACGCACACAACAGGGGATCACACCAATCAAGTTCAGTGTGTTGTATTCAAAAATAAATCACTGCATAGCTAATGCCTGAGTTGTGCCTGAAGAGTCAAGGAAGGGCTTTGTTGACTTAGAACAGTGAAGTTAGAATGAGCTCCAAGGATCCTCTAGCTCTGAGACCACAGGCTGCACTTTCCTCACTTCTGCTGTATGGTTGAGAATAGCTGAGAATGAAATCTGAAAGCCTCATTGTGGCTTCATTCACTTGACAGAGCAAGGACTGTTGGGGATCTCCCAAAGACACTAAAGCAGATGGCATCAATGTTCCTCCTCTGAAAAGTTCTCTAGACCTTCCTTCATGGTTTTCTGTGGGAGCGAAGATGGCAAATGGTGGATGCTATAGCTTCTGTGTCTCTTTTAAAAATATTTTTATTATTTTATCATGGTTCATTACATTTGTTATACATTGCTTATTTTACAGCATACATATTATTCAATACAACCTACCATACTTTAACTTTTGGCATCTAGTGTTATTTTTCTACTTATACATATTATCTATCCCTCACTGCTTTGTCCCCCTCCCAAGCCACAACTTTTACATATAATCTGTCCAAAATTTCAATTCTTCTTGTGGAGGTAACTTTCCTTCTTTCTTTTTAAATCCTTTTTCAATAAATTTTCTCCATACATCAACAAAATCACTTTGTTTCTATATACCTCTTTTAACTTATAATATACATATCAGCTTATCATTTATTGCCAATTTCCACACTTCCTTGTACCACTCCTCTATTTGTATATTTATTTCTTTTTTTCCAGTTCCTTGCTAATAAGTTTGTTATCACATCTTTATCCTCTTTTTTCAATTGTTTATTATTATATAATGATAATAAAGCTATACTAGGACTTCTTTCTATTTTAATGTTCATTATATCTTCTATTTCTCTAAATACTTTCCCCCCAAAATTATTTACATTGCCACCACTTATGTATATATGTTCCTGATATTTGACATCCTCTCCAGTAGTTTCTATTTATATTTGCTATTCTTACTGGTGTTAGGTACCATTTCCATATTAACTTATAATAATTTCCTTTAACACATATTGATAATTTTTTTAGATGTCTTTGTCTCCATAATTGTTGTCACTCTGTTTCATTTATTTTTATTCCTAAATTTCTTCCCAGACCTTCTTGAGGATGTTATTTTTTGTTGGGTTGTTGTAAGTTTTTTTGGGCTATATGGCCATGTTCTAGAGGCATTCTCTCCTGATATTTCACCTGCATCTATGGCAAGCATCCTCAGAGGTTGAGAACCACTAATCTACGTAATTGTGTAATTTAGTGTTTCTCAACCTTCCTAATACCATGATCCCTTAATACCGTTCCTCATGTTGTGCTGACCCCCAAACATAACATGATTTTTGTTGCTACTTCATAACTGTAATTTTGCTACTGTTATGAATAATCATGTAAATATTTGATATTCAGAATGTATTTTTATTCACTGGACCAAATTTGGCACAAAGACCTGATACACCCAAATTTGAATACTGGTGGGGTTGGAGGGAATCGATTTTGTCATTTGGGAGTTGTAGTTGCTGGGATTTATAGTTCACCTATAATCAAAGAGCATTCTGGACTCCACCAACAATGGAATTGAACCAAACTTGGCACACAGGACTCCCCTGACCAACAGAAAACACTAGAAGGGTTTGGTGGGCATTGACCTTTAGTTTGGGAGTTGTAGTTCACCTACATCTAGAGAGCACTGTGGACTCAAACAATGATGGATCTGGACCAAACTTGGCACGAATACGCAATATGCCCAAATATAAACACAGATGGAGTTTGGGGGAAACAGACCTGTGGTCAATAACTTTGGTCAATTGTCGGGCTCTGTCATTATTCTGGGAAGGCCTCGTTCCATAGCCAGGATTTCACTAGCTTCCTGAAGGTCAGGAGGGAGGGGGTGGATCTAATCTAATTTGGGAGGGAGTTCCATAGCTAGGGGGCCACCACAGAGAAGGCCTTGTCTCTCATTTCCACCAGACGCGATTGAGACAGTGGCGGGACCAAGAGCAGGGCCCCACCAGAAGAACTTAACAGCCTTGATGGTTCATAGGGGAAAGGGAGAGAGAAGACAATCCCCTTGAACTACAACAGATTCCATCGTCAGCATCTCTTCAGCAGAAAATGTGACCATCCGGTACATAGTATGATATATTCCTCCTGTAAATATGAAGTTGTTATAAACTGAAGAGTCAAGTGATGTCGCTTCAGTTTATGCCGCAGCCAAGCATGTGATACTGGCAATGTCTCTCCTTACTAATCACGGCCTTGGACTTGAATAATTCCTCCTTATGTTTGCCCACAAGTCATCCACCTATGCATGTGCATAACCACAATACAATCTTATCAAAAGCTACACTCACATGACCTTACGAAGAATGTTACATTAATCTCTTCTTTCTTCTTCTCCTGAGTGAACTATGTTTGCCCAGAATTGTCCCAACAAGACACAACTTTAACTTGCTTTCAGCTTCCTTGGAGGCTGCTATGAATAGACATTACCTTCTCCTTATCCTCCTATCTCATACCTTTGCAAGTTTTTACAGGTAAACCTTATGAGACACCTGTAGTCTGTAATTCCCAACCCTGTGTGTATATTGATTCTAATTTTTGTGTACCTTTTGCAGTAAAAATAATGCTCATCGTTCATTTCGAGCAAGAGTCCATGTATGACTAATTCCTTCCCCCATAAAATTGCGGCTTCTCCTGTTGAGTCATGAACTTCATAAACGTCTTTATTAGCGTGGAAACAGAGGGAGGAAAGCACAACCTCAACATGATCATTTACTGCTGTTTTTTTGTGAACCCCGTAAGATTTACAAACAATAAGGTTGTGGTGGTTTTGAGACAATGACAAAGAAGCCAGTTGTGATGGTAGGAACAAAGAACGTTCTATTTGTGGAGAGACCAGTTGAATGAAATGAAAAGATTTTGTAGGGAGGGGTGGATAGGACATCTTACATAACCATGCAAGCTCCATAACTATGTCCCAGTGCCATAATGAAGGAGGTTTGAAACTGAATAAAGTGGAAAGAGGAACACGCAGATAATGTAGCTTATTTTGTTTCTCTCCGAACAACTCCAGAGGTATTATGGCATTCTCACATACTCTCTGCACTGATATATTTACTAAAAAAAAAAAAAAAAACCCAAGCAACTACCATAATAATAATAATAATCATCATCATCATCATCATCATCATCTATATAAATAAAAATGTAATGTTCATTTGTGGGATTAACATAACTCAAAAACCACTGGACAAATGGACACCAAATGTGGACACAGTGCACCTTTCAGGCCAACAAGTGACCATCACTCATAAAAACACCGAAAAAACACAGCAGAAGAGACTTGACAAGCCAAAAAATAAAAAATGCATTACAACGCATGCACAAAACCACATATCTACACATATACACAAATATATACACACACATATATACATACACAAAACACATATACACAGATTGGGCCACAGCAACGAGTGGCAGGGGACAGCTAGTCTATATAAATAAAAATGTAATGTTCGTTTGTGGGTTTAACAGAACACAAAAACCAGTGGGCCAATTGACACCAAATTCGGACGGCATACACCTAATAACCCAATGTATGTCCTTCACTCAACATTTTTTGATTTTCTCATTTGGAAGTTGGGATTTATAGTTCACCAACAATCAAAGAACTCAACCAATGATGGAATTGAACCAAACGTGGCAGAGGACTCCCATGACCAAGAGAAAACACTTGAAGGGTTTGGTGGGCATTGACATTGAGTTTGGGAGTTGCAGTTCACCTACATAAATACTTAAAGCTATCCAGTCCAACTCCCTTCACCAGGGCAAGAAAACGTAATCAAAGCCCTCCTGACAAAGAGCCATCCAGCCATAGATATAGAGAGATAGGATTCACACACACACACAGATATAGTATCACAGATTTGAAAGGGGCCCTTAAAGAAGGACATTTATATGTTGCATATCACAGAATATGCAAACCAGACACTCTCCACATCAACACTGACAAAGAAAAAGCATGAAATACTGTTTACCCACAAGCATGAAGAAATTACATATATTAGAAACCAACACTTTCTCATTACTTTATTTTCCAGATCACCAGACTGGGCCACAGCAACGCGTGGCAGGGGAGGGCAAATAATAATAATAATAATATTAATAATAATAATAATAATAATACTGTATTTATACCCTGCCACCATCTCCCCAAGTGGACTCGGGACGGCTTACATGAGGCCAAGCCCAGCAGTATATCAATGCCAGTGTATAACATAAGAGTACAACAATAAAATATAAAAAATAAAAATAAAATAACATACAATACCAAAGCATTAAATAAACACATGAGACCATATAACATCACAATATAAAATCACAATTTTCTGATCAAATCTTCATCATTGAATCTCAGTGGCACATAAGAAAGTGTGGTATGGCAAGGAATTCAGATCAGTAGAATTGCCCTTCCCTGACTTTATTCGACTTTCAGCAATTTAATGTCTCCATTCATTGTAGCTAAATTTGCTTGTGATGCCTGACTCGATTCCTCCCTTTAATTTCAGGGATTTACCTGCTGGATTTAATCTACATCGATTCAGCATATCCTGCCTCGGGAAGCATCATGGAGAATGAACAAAGATCCAACCAAATGAACAATATCCTCCGAATAATTGCCGACTTGCAAGTCTCCTGTAGCTATGGTTGGTAACTGTTCACTGATATTTATACAAAACACTACTAGCAGGCAGCTTTCACAAAGGACAATGTATCAAAAAGGATAATATCATTCATATGAGTAAACCATTTATTTATTTATTTATTTATCGTGTCAGGAGCAAACCAAACAGTTGTATTGCATTTTTAACAAACAAAACACAAAGTTTACAAGCTTGGTAGTTGATTAAATGTCCTTTGACTAGTATCTGGCCACTTGGAGTGCCTCTGGTGTTACTATAAGAAGGTCCTCCATTGTGCATATAGCAGGGCTCAGGTTGCATCGCAGCAGGTGGTCTGTAGTTTGCTCTTCTCCACACTCACATGTCGTGAATTCCACTTTGTAGCCCCATTTCTTAAGGTTGGCTCTACATCTCGTGGTACCAGAGCGCAGTCTGTTCAGCGCCTTCCAAGTCGCCCAGTCCTCTGTGTGCCCAGGGGGGCGTCTCTCATTTAGTATCAGCCATTGGTTGAGGTTCTGGGTTTGAACCTGCCACTTTTGGACTCTCGCTTGCTGAGGTGTTCCAGCAAGTATCTCTGTAGATCTTAGAAAACTATTTCTTGATTTAAGTCATTGACGTGCTGACTGATATCCAAACGGGATGAGCTGGAGATGTCACTGCCTTGGTCCTTTCACTATTGGCTGCTACTTCCTGGAGGATGTCAGGTGGTGCAATACCGGCTAGGCAGTGTAATTTCTCCAGTGGTGTAGGGCGCAGACACCCCGTGATAATGCGGCACGTCTCATTAAGAGCCACATCTACTGTTTTTGTGTGGTGAGATGTGTTCCACACTGGGCATGCGTACTCAGCAGCAGAGTAGCAAACCATTAATACAACTAGTAAAATTCCATCTTTAATGTCAATCATAAAAGTAAAGGTAAAGACATTAAGTCTAGTCGAATCTGACTCTGGGAGGTGTTGCTCATCTCCATTTCTAAGCCGAAGAGCCAGCGTTGTCCGTAGATGCCTCCAAGGTCATGTGGATGGCATGACTGAATGGAGCTCCATTACCTTCCTGCCAAAGAGGCACCTATCGATTTACTCACATTTGCATGTTTTCGAACTGTTAGGTTGGCAGAAGCTAGGGCTAACAGCGGGAGCTCACCCTGCTCCATGAATTTAACCGCTGACCTTTTGGTCAGCAAGTTCCACAGTTCAGCAGTTTAACTCACTGTGCCACTGTGGCTCCTGTCAAATTGGATAATGTCACATTGGATAGTAAAATTGTTACGGGTTCATTTTGATGGCTCATCAATGATGTAGGCATCCACTTATATAAATAAAAATGTAATGTTTGTTTGTGGGATTAACATAACTCCAAAACCACTGGATGAATTGACACCAAATTTGGACACAATACACCTATTAGGCCAATGAGTGACCATCACTCATAAAAACACCGAAAAACACAGCAGAAAAGACTTATAAAGCCAAAAAACAAAAATTACATTACAACATATACGCAAAACCATATATATACGCAAACAATCATATACACAAATATACACACACACATTTACACACACAAAACACATATACACAGAGTGTGCTACAGCAACGCGTGGCAAGGGACAGCTAGTAGACAGATATAAATATATCATTATGTTTTAGATGTTCAGTGCCATCCATGAAATTGTAGAATCCTAGAGTTGCAAGAGACCTCGTGGGCCATCCAGTCCAACCTCATTCTGCTAGGAAAATCACATTCAAAGCATTCCCAACATTAGGAAGAACTTCCTATCTGTAAGTTCTCTCTGACCCAGAGTGTGGTGGAAGCTCCTTCTTTGGAGGCTTTAAAGCAGATGCTGGATGGCCGTCTGTTGGGGGCGCTTTTGAGATGTCAAGCCCACACAGCACTCAATGACATTTGAGTCTTGGTAGCACAAGGGAGGGAAGAAATGTTGAAACCAAAAAGGAACTGCTTTGTTTCTTGACTGTTTTTGGAATTGATACGGACTCTTCTTTTCAACACAGATCACCTTATAACATTACCCCATGTGCAAAAGTACTTAAAGTCTGTCCGGTACATTGAAGAACTTCAAAAGTTTGTGGAGGATGACAACTACAAGTAAGTCCTGTTCCCCTCTTTTGCGCTTCAGCTGACTTCATGGAAAAGATGGCCTTGCTATAGACTAGAATAAAAGTTTTTTTTTAAAGTATTCCTGGCAAGAATGTATATGAGATTTTTTTTAAAAAGATGTAGACAGTGATGATATTGTCAGAGGTCTGAATGAAACCCCAGATGGATCTCGCTCGAAGATCTAACCTCATCTCTAAAGTAAGACCATTTTATAAAAACTGTAAAGGAACAAAACCAGTAAGTTTATTCACTATTCCATAGGTTTTCTGCTCTATGACAGCGAAACACACAAATTATATTCAGAAGACTACTTTTCTCACCATGTTATGCTTTCGGAGTCATGTGTCATTAGAGATCGAAGTGCCTATTGAGCTGTAAATGTCTCGTCACATATTGCAGCTGTCAGCTGATATTCAGTGAGCCATTTTTAAAGAAAATTTGACGTATCCTGTGTGTATTGGTTGGTAGTGGGGCACATACTTTATTCTATAGATCAGCATTTCTCAACCTGAGGGTTGGAACCCCTGGAGGGTCACAAAAGGATTTCAGAGGGGTCACCAAAGACCATCAGAAAACATATATTTCTAATGGTCTTAGGAACCCCTTTGGCAGAGAAGGCTGAAGATCTATCCACCTGTCCATCTTTTCCTTTTTGGAAACAGACGTGAACCCTCCCACCAAAGGCCCTCCTCCACTGTGATTGGCCAGCCTCTCAGCCAAGGGGAGGGCTGTTTCTGAGACTCTATGTGAGGAGGGGAGAGCAAGCATGCTTGGCGCATGGCAATGTGGTGCTCATGTGCAGCCGAGGGAGTGTGTGAGGCTGGAGGGAGGTTCGTGCCAGCAAGTCCCTTCAAGACATGATGGTTCTGTGTGGGAAGATTGTCCCAATTCTGTTGTTGGTGGGGTTCAGAATGCTCCTTGATAGTAGGTGAACTATAAACCCAGCAACTACAACTGCCAAATGTCAAGTCTGTTTTCCTCAAGCTCCACCAGTGTTCACATTTGGGCACATTGCATATTTGTGCCAAGTTCCCCTTATGAACCATCTAGGACAGAGGTCCTCAAACTAAGGCACAGGGGCCGGATACGGCCCTCCAAGGTCATTTACCCGGCCCTCACTAAGGGTCAACCTAAGTCTAAAACGACTTGAAAGTACACAACAGCAACAGCAGTCCTATCTCATCAGCCAAAAGCAGGCTCACACTTCCTAATGAAATACTAATAAGTTTATATTTGTTAAAATTGTTCTTTTTAATTATTGTATTGTTTTTAAGTAAGTTTTGGACTACAAATAAGATCTGTGCAGTGTGCATAGGAATTCATTCATGCTTTTTTCAAGTTATAATCCGGTCTTCCAACAGTTTGAGGGACTGTGACCTGGCCCTCTGTTTAAAATGTTTGAGGATCCCTGATCTAGGAACTTAAGATTATCTGGAGAGGCCCTGCTCTCGATACTGCTTTCGTCACAAGTACGTTTGGTGGAGACGAGAGACAGAGCCTTCTCGGTGGTGACCCCTCGGCTGTGGAACGCCCTCTCTATAGATATTACATCGGCCACTTCCCTTTTAACATTCCAAAAAAAAGTCGAGGTGACTTTTTGAACAAGCATTTCCAAATGCAGAGTAACTGACATAGGAAAATGGAACGACAACAATGAGACCGGACAACGTTTTTAACAAGGAGACACTATGAATTTATATTTTATTGATAGATTTAATTTTTATTATAAGTTATGTTTTTAATTGTATTTATGATATTGTTTTTACCCTGTTAACTGCCTTGAGTTGCCTACAAGCTGAGAAAGGCGGTATACAAATACAGTAAATAAATACATAAATAAGTTAGGTCCAGATCTATCATTGTTTGAGCCCACAGTGTTCTCTGGATGTAGGTGAACTACAACTCCAAAATGCAAGGTCAATGCCCACCAAACCCTTCCAGGATTTCCTGTTGGTCATGGGAGTTCTGTGTGCCAAGTTGGTTCCATTCCATCATTGGTGGAGTTCAACATGCTCTTTAACTGTAGGTGAACTATAAATTCCAGCAACTACAACTCCCAAATGACAAAATTAACCCCCCCCCCCCCCCAACAACAACAACCAACAGTATTGGGCGTATTGGATATTTGTGCCAAATTAGTCCAGTGAATGAAAATGCATCCTGCATATAGATATTTACATTACCATTCATAACAGTAGCAAAATTACAATCGTGAAGTAGCAATGAAAATAATTTTACGGTTGAGGGTCACCACAACATGAGAAACTGTATTAAGGGGTCGTGGCATTAGGATGGTTGAGAAACACTGTTGTAGATAGTAGGAAACATGTTTTTATTCTTATGCTAAATAGCTATTGTAAAAGCCATTTTCTTTGTATTCTTTGTGTTGATCTTGGAGTTAAAATGTACACGAATTCTTATCAGAGTGGCATGAAACCCATCTGAATAGATTTCTGCAGAATCTGTCACCATTTTGTCATTTTGGACAGCAACCAGAAAAGCCAAATTGTTGCTGCTGAAAACCCTCTTTGTTTATCTTCTTGGTGCATTTATTTTGTTGGATCAGATTGAAAGCAGACATCGGAGCAATGATGTTTTGATACCGAAATCCTGCTTAATGTGTCATGCTCTCTTTCTAGAACCCTGGTCTCCAAATGTTTTGAATGCGGCTTATCACTTCTTTTTCAATATGGGCTTGGGTTTTTTATCAGCATATTCGTGGCAGGATGTGCGTGTATAAAAATATATGTGTAAACTCTCACTGCCGTTTGCCATCTGTTGCTTCCATTGCGTAGAGAAAGGAGTAGGTAGTTTTACGCTGGAAAAAGAAAGACTGAAATGAGTGTGACATACATTCAGGTTGAAATGACATACTCTGCTAAGAACGGGAAAACTTTGGGATCCTCAACAGGCCATCACACTTTCTGCAAGAGGTTAAGAATAAATAGATATAGAGTCACGTTACAAACAAAAACAATATGCTATGCAGGACCTCATTCATCTGTGTCTACATGTACACATACAACCCTACTGTTATTATTCTTCCTATTTATATTCAAAGACATAACTGAGATATTCTCTATGAGTGTCAATTCATAGACTTCCAGATAACTGGGATTGTGGTGCAGCTGGCTGAGTGTCAGCTGCATTAAGATCACTCTGACCAAAAGGTCATGAGTTCGAAGCCAGCCCGGGTTGGAGTGGGTTTCCAACCAATTGTGTGTAGCCTGTTGTCAACCTTTGCAACCCGAAAGACAGTTGCATCTGTCAAGTAGGAAAATTAGGTACTACCTTAAGTGTGGGGAGGCTAAATTAACTGATTTATGAGTCCATAAAGAAGACTCTAGCAAAGCATTCCAGCGGGGAAGCATGCGGGGAATGTGGAAGTGTTTCATCCGTGTCGCAGATGGATGATGAAAGAGACAGCTCCCCTGGCGGCCAGAAAAAGTTAAATAGCCTCTGTGTATGTCTGTATATGTTTGTATGTCAAAAATTGGCATTGAATGTTTGCCATATATGTGTACACTGTAATCCGCCCGAGTCCCCTGGGGGTGAGAAGGGCGGAATATAAAAGCTGTAAATAAATAATAAATAAATAATAATACCATCTTAGCCACTATGGAAGCTGAAAGCTTCTCTAAACCAACATTCTAGTTGTTGTTAGTAGTAGTAAAAGGTAAAGGTAAAGGTTTCCCTTTGACATTAAGTCTATGCGTGTCCAACTCTGGGGAGTGGTGCTTATCTCCATTTCTAAGCCAAAGATCTGGAGTTGTGTGTAGGCACCTCCTAGGTCATTTTGTCAGCATGACTGCATGAAGCATCATTACCTTCCCGCAGAAGTGGTACCCATTGATCTACTCAAATTTGCATGTTTTCAAACTGCTAGATTGGCAGAAGCTCGCCCCACTCCCCCATTCGAACTGACAACCTTTCGGTCAGCAAGTTCAGCAGCTCAGCAGTTTAACCTGCTGCACCACCAAATAATTGTGTTATTAATGTACGGTCGAAGGCTTTCATGGCCGGAATCACTGAGTTGTTGTAGGTTTTTTCGGGCTTAATGGCCATGTTCTAGAGCAAGGGTCCTCAAACATTTTAAACAGAGGGGCAGGTTACAGTCCCTCAAACTGTTGGAGGACCGGATTATAATTTGAAAAAAAACATGAATGAATTCTTATGCACACGGCACATAGCTTATTTGTAGTGCAAAAAACACTTAAATACAATAGTTAAAAAGAAGAACAATTTTATTTGTTATTTTTAACAAATATAAACTTATTAGTATTTCAATGGGAAGTGTGAGCCGGCTTTTGGCTGATGAGATAGGATTGTTGTTGTTCTTGTGTGCTTTCAAGTCATTTCAGACTTAGGTTGACCCTGAGTGAGGGCAGAGTAGAATCATAGAATCATAGAGTTGGAAGAGACCTCATGGGCCATCCAGTCCAACCCCCTGCCAAGAAGCAGGAATATTGCATTCAAATCACCCCTGACAGATGGTCATCCAGCCTCTGTTTAAAAGCTTCCAAAGAAGGAGCCTCCACCACACAGAGAGTTCCACTGCTGAACGGATCTCACAGTCAGGAAGGTTTTACTCATGTTCAGATGGAATCTCCTTCATAGAATCATAGAATCATAGAGTTGGAAGAGACCTCATGGGCCATCCAGTCCAACCCCCTGCCAAGAAGCAGGAATATTGCATTCAAATCACCCTGACAGATGGCCATCCAGCCTCTACACCACACTCCGGGGCAGAGAGTTCCATGCTGAACGGCTCTCACAGTCAGGAAGTTCTTCCTCATGTTCAGATGGAATCTCCTTTCTTGTAGTTTGAAGCCATTGTTTCGTGTCCTAGTCTCCAGGGAAGCAGAAAACAAGCTTACTCCCTCCTCCCTGTGGTTTCCTCTATAATATACGAAGGGTATTTTTTAAGTAAGGTCCGTTTTGTTGTAGACACTAGTAGTTTGCGCGCATACCGCAACAAGCGCGTGCAT